GCTCGTTGTCTGCGACATGTGTTTCTGTAGTTGCCATCCCCATTATGATAATGCCTTGTGCTTGTGTGTACTGTATGCTGTTAGCGAGTACCAAAATTGTCTTGTAAAAGTGGTAGAAATGGGTCTGGAGGTCAGGACAGTCAAGGTCTTGGAATGTATCCCTATTTGTTACATAAAGTGTGTTCCCTTTATGTGAACTTGAGTTATGCACTGTTTTCCAGGAACGCATGTACAGCATAAAGCGAGGGAAACCTGTACAGTAGAATCCAGCAAAATCAATGAGTGGGACTGGATTTTGCCAGTGCAAGGAACAATTGTTTCATTTAAATTGGGCACTGGAGCTCAGGTTACTATTCTACCAGGACATGAATATAGAAAATTAAAACTGAGAGCAAAAGCAAGTCCAACAAATATCAAAATAACTGGCTATTCAGGAACAAATATACCAGTGAAAGGGAGATTCACTGCTAGCATCCAATATAAGCACAGAGTATACAAACTCATTGTGTTGCCTTAGGAGGTGACACCAATTTTGTGTCTGCCAACTTGTGAGAAACTATAGTTAAGTAAGTGCTTGCAGTACAAGAGGACACAACATTTATGCTTCCTGATGGTCCTCTTGGCCATCATGGCCAAAATCTGGACAGTCTTTTTAGGAAGAAACCAATTGTTCCAGTGCACAAGAACCAACTGCGTCCCTATGGGAAGAAATGTACCTATGCACATCAGCGCAGAAAGAGGAAATCAGCAGTCTGTAGCTAATGGACTTTGTGCAATGTGCAGAAGCTGCCAAAAGTGCAAGTCAACTGGATCCCACTATAAGGACTCAAGTTTATCAAGACTTGAAGAAAAAGCTTCCCAAAACAATTGAAAGCCAGGTCTGATACTTGACCAGAACTTGAAAAGAACTTGAAAAGTGCTTGAAAAGAACTTGAGAGTTCCTGAACGACTCACAGAGACTTGCTAAAGGAGCTGCAGAAAAAGGGGATTAGGAAAGTGAATGGTAAAGACACTTCAGAGTGACATCGTAGTAACCTCTCTGTAGATGTGTGTTCAATAGTTTTTTGTGTTAATTGACTTCTGTAGTTATTGTTAAAGGAGACGATATAGTGATGGAAGTTAAAACAGGGGTTAGTGAGTGAGTTAGAGCAGGTGTAGGGGTAGGCAATTATTTGGGCCCATGGGCCACAGGGAGTTTTGCTGACCTGTTGCAGGCTGGTTCGGCACCCTCCCCAATCCTGCAACAACTTGCCAAAACTCCCTATGTGGGATGGTGCTGTGGGTGGATGGGGAGTGGTGTTTGGGAGTTGGTGGGTGGAGCTGGGATCATGGGGCTGGAGCTGGGGCAGAGCTGCGATCTGTTCCCTGCATGCCCCTGTGACAAGTGTGGGTTCTGTGGGCAGGGGCATGCAGGGAGCAGATCACAGGTCTGCTCTGGCCCTGGCCCTGTGCTGTCACTGGCCCGTGATCCTGGCCTCGGCTTGAGAGACAGCTCCCCACCTGGTTGCATGCTCCGCCTGCATGACTTCAGGCTTTTCTCCATGGAGACCTCAGGATTGTGGGGCAGTGACAGCGCAGGGTCGAGGCAGAGCTGTGATGTGCCCCCCACACAGCCCCACATTCTGCCCCGGTCCCATGCTGTCATGGCTCTGTAATCCCGCGGTGTCCATGGAGACTGTCCGGGAGCCATGCAGGGAACTGCATCTTCGGCTGGGATCTTGGGATGGTGACAATGCAGGGCTGGGGCCAGGGCAGAGCCATGATGTGCTCCCTGTGTGCCCTGCCCACAGAACCTGTACCCATTTCAGGGGCGTGCAGGCAGTGGATCATGATTCTGCCCCAGCCTTGTGCTGTAACCACCCCAAGATCCCAGGGTCTCCCTGGCCCTGCCTGCCCATTTCGCTCCCAGACAGCGCTCACCACCAGCCTGCAGCCCCATCTCATCTGCTCGACCACACACCCTGCCCACATGGGTCCTGCCATTGGTGTTGGGTGGCACTGATGGATGGGCTGGGGTGCCTGGACAGTGGGCCAGGTTCAGCGGTGGCCTGAAGGAGCCTCTGCCACTGGGGCATCTGGGAAAAGGAGTCCAGTCACTGTGCTGCCCCAGCACCACTGCACACTGAAGGCAGTGGGACTGGGCTGCCCTTCAGGCTGGGGCCAGGCGGGACCAAGGGACCCACCACAGGCCAGGCAAAATCATTCTGTGGGCTGGATCTATTTGCCCACCTACGGAGTTAGAGAGAGACAAAGGGACTGCAGAAATTGCCTGCTGCTCCAAGTTTGTTGTTTGATTCTTTTCCTTCGTGTATTCCTGTTCATTGAACCTGGTGATCACTGATCACTACACTTCTTAGCTTTGGAGGAACACTGCTTTAAGAATTTTTGGCTTCAACATGAAGAAGATATCTGTCTACTTGAAAGCACAGATTTGACTCGGTAGGGAAATAAATTGCCTACAGTAGAGAGCAAAATTGGGATCCAAGGATTTGGACTTGTTTAATGAGTTTCTTATACTATTCAGTAGGAGAAATTATTGTGCTATATGACACATGCACACACTTTCCTATACATAAGGAGCACGTGTGTGTATAGAGGACAGTGTTTGTGTGTGCGTGTGTGTATACATATGCATGCACACACACACTTACGCTCCTTATGTATAGGAAAGTGTGTGTGTGTGTGTGTATGTGTGTGTGTATATATATATATATATATATATATATGTGTGTGTGTGTGTGTGTATATAGATATATATTAGTGTGTGTGTATACTTTCCTAAATTTTAAATGGCATAATATATTATACTATATATATATTTTATATTTTAAATTTAGGAAACTATAGTTGAGTTATCCTGCTCGTAGATGGAAGTTGCATGTACACACACACACACACACACACACACACACACACACACACACACGTTTTAACTGGAAGTTACTTCAGGAATCAGGATGTTCCCTACTTAGTGACTGACAGATCTTTTTAGTCCCGAAGCTGTAAGCAGGTTGAAGTACCCATTAGAGCAGATGTTTTAGACAGGCATTTTCAAGTAACCATAGATATAGTTACTATTTTTTCTTGTTGGTTGTGCTATTCTAATCTTGTTTATTCTGCTATTTTTGTTCTACCTTGCATCAGTTGAGTTTTTTTTTTCCTTTTACATTTTTGGTGGTCTCATCTTTAATATAGGTATAAAATAAGTAGCAGAGCTCAATGAATGCTATTACAATATTTTTGTAAATACTTTTTAAATGAAAACCTGTGGCATGTGTGCGTTTCCACAAATATTTGAATTTTTAAACTCCAATGTCAAAATTGTAGCTGAAAATTAATTTAAAAATGTATATTCATTTGTGATATGTGAAATTTCACACACTTTGTAGATTAGCTATGAGACTCAGGTTAATAATGGGAAACAGTACCATGGCCTATTCTGCTTATGTCCCCTCTCTCTTTCCCATGCCCTTTGTCTTATCTATTTGGATTGTAAGGACTTTGGGGCAGGGGTTGTTTTGTACTCCATGTTTGTACAGTGCCTACTGTAATGGGACCTCATTCTCGGTTGGCTCATAGGCATTGTGGTAAGAAACTTGATAAATAACAGCAATGTTCAAATAATTATGTGCTTATTATTTTGCAAGACTTAAATGTGACACGTTTTGTATTATGTAGCAGTGTTACTTAAGATACTCTAATTTGTATCAACTTTGGCCCATTTGATACTCATACTTAAATGTTTGCTGCATTTTTTTATCCCTACAAAACAGATGTAGATTACTGTCAGTGAATAGTTTTCAAAGATCACCGCTAAAATAAAATTGCTTAAAATAATCCCTCAGTTCTGCTTTAGCCCATAGGAACAGAACTTCTCTTTGCATACCTTGTGATATCCTATGTCTTAATTAAAATCAGGAGTCCAGCTATGTCCTGACTCAGTCCTGTTCCTGGAGGCTGTTGGGAGCTCCCTGTGCCCTCACGGAGCCCCACTAAAGATAGTGATGCATCATGTGGGTGCAGGGTTCTGAACTCATGAACCATCTTGAAAACCCTGAGCCTTATCATTGACTTTATATAACTTTTTTAAGATAATGAAGATGGGTGAGGGTGAACTTTTAAAGATATTCTCTAAAAACATGCTGGATGCGCTGAGATACGGTTCTCTTCAGAAATGATACAGTATAGTGAGTATTATGATATCACCATAGATTGGACAGACATGGCAGAAAAGTCAGAAATTATTTGCTTCTGCTGGGAAGACCAACATTAATACTAGTTCTTCATTTGATTTTGATAGCATGACTCAAAAATGGCCATGGCACTTCTTTTCAACAGTGCCTGCAAAATGTAGTCTTTACCTATTAAATTTAATTCCCTTAGATTGCATATTTTGATTTAAATAATTATAGAAATGGAAATCTTAAAAATTAAGCTTATAGCACACAAATGACTATTTAGGTGGCAGAAACTATTTCTGTAAGTTCCCTGAGAAGCAGTCAAGATGCATCTTTTTCATAGTTGTTCCTAGTTTATATTTGGTTTACGTAGGAAAAAAGCACATGCTAATGTAACTTAAAAGGTTTTGTATTAAAGTATAAAATTTCCCATCTGAGCACTTTAAACATGCTTTGTGATAGATACTTGATTTAAACCTGCCAATACCTTGGCAATGTAAGTATGTTTTATAATTATACAAATGGGTGCATTATAGTACAGAAATGCAGTAGCTATCATTCAGGAAATCATTAAAGCATATTAACTAGACTTCTCACATACTTGACATCAGGCACATCCCTAAATAGCTGGCTGAAATGGATGTACTTAAGCATACGTTTTGAGTTAAGCACGTACTATACAAATGCAGGAATTGCAATGAATCTTTGGTAGAATTGAGACTAGATTCAATAGATCCAAGTTTCCTTACTTGAGCAGAAAACCATTTCCTTCCTGGGCATTTTTCATTAAATACTTTTTTGCAATATTTTTCAGGTCTAAAGTGTGTATGCCAGTTGTGTGAGCATACAAACTTCACCTGCCAAACTGAAGGAGCATGTTGGACTTCAGTCATGCTGACTAATGGCAAAGAAGAAGTGATAAAGTCATGTGTATCTCTTCCAGAATTGAATGCTCAAGTGTTCTGCCATAGTTCTAAAAATGTCACAAAAACAGAATGCTGCTACACTGACTTTTGCAACAACATAACCCTCCATCTGCCTACAGGTAAGCAGCATCTTACTGTTAGGTTTTCCTTGAATAATCTTTCCAGAAGGAAAGATATGTAGCAATTGTTGAAAGCTTAATAAGCCCTAGCGTGACAAAATGCAAGTAAATGCAAGTTGTAAAGAACAGTATTTCAATAATATTCCAAACCGCAAAGGTAAATTTAATAATTTAATCATTTAATTTAATTATTACTGGGGAGGGGCCACAGAGGGATTTGAATCAACTTCTTCTACCTTCAGACATTCATATGTGATTCTAATGGTAGCCACAGAGAAATATAGATGTCTATGAGGTCAGAATGCTGACTGAAGGAAGCAAATTGCATTGCCAAACAGACATATCTTTCTATGCTAGTGTATCTTAATTCAGAATTCCAACTTATTTATTGATATTTAGATCTAGACCTTTTACATGGTTGCACCCAAGTGTACCAGGGCCTTGTAAGTATCATTACTTTCTACTGGGCAGTAACACAGACATAAATTTGGGCTGTTAGTTAGATTAGTCTTAGAGATCTGTGTATGTTGCTGAATGAAAAGAACATGAAAAGATTACTTGACAGTATGTGGTTCTTTATTAGTGAATAATAGAACATAATTCCTGCCCAGAGGGTTTTGCAGTCTAAACTGGATATACCAACATTTATATGACAATCTTGATTAAATGTCTAAGATAGAAAACAGGATAGAAGAGTTTGAGAATATCACTCTTCTAAGAAGGAAGAAAACTAGACGCTCATTATCTGGGTAGTTAATTGTTTGTCTGAAGCTCCTGTGTCATCTGTGGGCCACTGATCGGTGTGAAGGCTGCATAATTCTTAATCCCTGCATTATTTGGTTTGTTACAAACCATGAGTGTTGCCCTTTCTTTTAATTTTGACTAGTTGCTTATAAGAGTCCTGTGAACTGTCATTTGATCAAGGTGGCTGGGAAATTAGAGCTCATGTTGGAATATTTACATGGTAGAATTTTTTTCTTAATTGCTTGTTAATATTAGGTTCAGAAGGGGGAAGGTAGAGCCAAACAAAGAGTGCACAGTATAACTATTTTTACAGTTCAGGTTCATCCCTTTATATTATTTGGGACAAAGGCTTTATGAGACAACATCTCTGTCTGTACTTTTAGCAAGTTTGTAAGTATGTCTTGAACATTTAAATTCTGCAAACAAGTGTAGAAGTGGACTGTGTAGCAGCTTATGGTCAGTATTACATTGGTATCATTGCCTTGCCCAGTAAGTGTAAGATTCCTGGTTACATGGTGTATGTGATGACTTTGCTGGAAGTATTGTGGACAGGCTTGAGGGAGGGTGGAGAGAGTACTTCAGAACTTTTACATGAAGTTATATGGGGATATCATTGACAAGGTATATGAGGGTATACTTTTTCAACCCTTTTGGTCCTTCTCAGTTCAGCCTTCATTATCTTTGTCTCCTTTTTCTTCCTTATTTATAGAGGCCTATTTTCTTCAAGCTGGTGCTGGCTTATGGCCATATTCTGAAAAGTAGCTCATCTCACCTAGATATACCTTTCCCCCTTCTTTTTTCCACCAATCAGATAACAGCTGGGAGGGGCTTGCCCTGCTCCTGGTTGGAGGCGGGGGGTGCAAGGAGCCCCTGGACCTGATTGAAGGCTGCGCTTTGCAGGTCCAGCAGACTTCAGGGGCAGGGCCTCTGGTGTAAATACAAGCTCAGCATGCTCAGCACACTGGGCAGATACAGCAAAGGATGGTGAGGAGAGAGGAGCTCCAGAGAAGACCATCATTTGGACCCTCCCTGGTCCTTGACAGTGTGTGGATCAGCGCATGGAGGGTCGGCCCTGGGAGCAGCTCGAGGATGCTCAAGTTAGCCCTGGCTCTAGGCTGGATAACCAGAGCCCAGTGTGGCTCAGCAATAAACTAAAAGAGCCCCCGTGCCAAGAGCAGGGCTCGGGAAGGGGAAAGACCCCTGGCGTGAGGCTGGGGAACTGGAGCCAGTGACAGCTCCCATAGGAGTTCCCTGGATGCTCAACGCGGGGCCCAGGGCCCAGAGGGAAGAACCCTCAACTCGAGGCTGATGGCTCCAGGAAGCCTGAGATGGTGTGGGGACCCAGAGGCCAGATTGACAGCTCCCAGAGGAAGGACCATGAATTACTGGGAACCCAGGTCCCACAGGGGAGGCACCCCTGGGCAAGGGACCCTGGGGGGAGTGGGCCTGGGGGAAAAAGACCCTATCCCATTTGAAGGACCAAGTGGTTGGAGCCCAGACAGGGTGCATCTAGTATCTGGTATAGTTATGTTTCCTATTCAGTATCTATTGTTATTGTTGGTGTTATAAATAGTTGGGTGTATTAATTCCATATAATGGGCTCTGTAAGGATGTCTTTATTAGATAACCCACTTGTGGTATAAACTTGCTAGATTGATTGTCCTCGGATCCACCCCTCTTCTGGCCCTGAGGCCTGGGTACTTACCCAAATGCCCTCCCTAGGGTCGACTTCCTCCAGCTAACAGACCTTTATATGTATATTTGTATCTATATCTGTATATATATATAGGTTGGTAACTCAATCAATTGTATATAGTTAAGAACTTTGGGCTTGGGGTAATTGTATAGAGGAAAGGGGGCTCTGTTCGAAATTTTGGCATCCCTCTCACAGCACCCCCTCCTGCCTACCTGTCCCATCCGATTGAAGATAGGGCACACCCTTGGGTGTACCTGGGTTAAGATAATTGTAAGGCTCTGCATAAAAATCAGGAGGGGAGGGAGCCAGGAAGTTTGGAAAGGAGATTGCCTTTCCTAATAACATAAGGAGATGTGTCACCCTGGAGCTGATAAGAAAAATTATTTCCATACTTATGTCTCCAAAACCAGCAATTGTCCCAAGCACACCAAAAAGTTGTAGTCTTTTTTCAGGCCCCCAGATATCACCACATCTGCTCTGAGGAGAATATTCACAAGACCTACCTGGCCAGCCTGAAACCTGCCTTTATGCAATAAGGACGTTCCAGTAGAGAAATAGACTTGTGTCTTTGGAAGAGCTACCCAAATGTCCCACAATAATCTACTGCGATGCAAATCCCTGCCTCCCCTCCTCCCAGACCATACACCCCTAGTGGCTACCTATTGCCCACACTGGGACCAGTTAGAAGAATTACAACCTTCACTCAACAAAGATCAGACCTTGAGAGAGAAATTCCCAGCCCTTCTGTTCCTGGCTTTCAAACAACCCTCTAACCTTGCCTAACCCATTTTCAGAAGCAAACTCCCCACTGTGTAACTGACATCAAATGGGACACAGCCCTGCCTTAACAATAGATGCTTAAACCCGTCAACACATCTTCAATGCTACAATCACAGACATCACTCCTACACCCACCACAACAAACCCATTAAAATCCATATGCCTTTCTCAAAATGTAATATATGTGATCCAATGCACCAGATACTGACATGGTAAAGAAACGAAACAGAAATTATGTACCTGAGCTTATGACACAGTACAAAATGTCAAGTAAGATTTCAGCCAAGGTTCTTTGGGTGAAACTGATATCTTTTATTAGACCAACTTAAATAGTTGGAAAAAAAATATTTAAGCAAGCTTTTGGGTTTAAAAACCCTTCGTCAGGCTGAGGAAGTTCCTGTAGTTGGTCTGTGCTCTTCTTGGATGGAATGAATAGTAAAGAAGTCAGAAGCTGGTCTGCATGCAAGATAGGCAGTCAGTGAAGATGTAAATTGAGGCATCAGTGGGTGACAGAGAGGCTGGTGGTGGGGGGAAGGGGGATGAATGTAGCAGTACCTGGGGAGTCAGGTGTCTGGCAGGTTATAATGTGTCATAAATCCAGTGTCTATATTCAGTCCATGATTTTTAGTATCCAGGAGGTTGATGAAGTAGGGTTCATAGGCTCATCTCTGAGAAGTGTTGTGTAAGTTTCCTTTGAGGATCAGGACTGAGAGATTGGAGAGAGAGTGGTTTTCTTGTGAGAAATGTGCCCCCACAGGTAATTGGGTATTCCTGTCTTTGATAGGTTTCAGGTGTGCGTTCATTCTGGTGCGCAGTTGTTGTTTGGTCTCTCCTATGTATTTTCTATCAGGGCATTTGGTGTGGTGCACTGGAATGCTGATTTTCAGGTTTGTTGGTTGAAGCCATGTTGGTCTAAGGACATGGGCAGACAAAGTTCTTTGTGATATATCTTTTATTAGACCAACTAAATAGCTGGAAAAATTGTTCTTTGTGAGCTTTTGGGTACAAATGCTCTTTTTCAGGCACAGGGAGAGTTTGTTATTTTCTGTGTGCTCTCTTGGGTGGAATGGAAGCTAGCATGCAAAATGCAAGTCTGTGAAAATGTAAATGTGTGGCAGCGAGGATCCGAGGTCCTGGGAGATGATTGGTGTGTGAGATAGGTAGGAATGGTGGGGGAAGAGGGAAGAATGTAGCTGGTAAAATGCAGACAAGTTTCCTGGGGTGAGCAGATGGTAGGCCAGTAATAATGTGTCATAAATCCAAATGTCTACATTTAGCCCATGATTTTTTGTATCCAGTAGATTTATGAAGTGAAGTTTTATAGGCTCCTCTATGAAAGCTGTTTTGTAAGTTCCCTTTGAGGATTAGAACTGAGAAATTGGAGTGGTTGTCTTGTGAGAAGTCTGCCCCCACAGGTAACTGGGTATTTTTGTCTTTGATAAAATTTCGGTGTGTGTTCATTCTGGTACACAGTTGTTGTTTGGTTTCTTCTATATATTTTCCATCTGGGCATTTAGTGCACTGGGTGAGATATATTACATTTCTGGAGGTGCAGGTGTAAGAGCCAGAAATGGTGATGTGTGCAAGTTGTAGTGTAGTTGTATACTAGTTATACTACACATTAAACCTATGTATAACAGTAATACCCATTTTCAGTTGATATTTGCTGATAGATACCTGTAATAATTTTAGTTAGCAACCTTACTACATAGGTAGAATCTATAGCTTAATGAAGCAAAATACTTTTATTGTGATTTCATAAAATATGCAGGGATTTGAA